CACAATTCCTTGTTCCACTTTCACTATGGGTAATCACTGCTTTCAGTGGTTTAAAATCTTTATTTTTTGAGGGGTTTTTTTTCCTCATCGTTTTCCTATTGTAGTAGATAGTCGGTGTGGCAGCCATGCGTAGGAACATGTAGCTGGGAACAGAAATACCTTGGCTACATCTCAAACATGAGAATGAGGAATAATTAAATAAACATGCGATGACTGAAAAAGAGCCTCAGTCAAAGGGACTCCCTATAACTGCTGTGGAGATGTGGCTTTAAACACATGCAGACCAGCGACGACTGAAGCTGTGGGAATGTTGAGGAGAGAGTGAGGAAACGTTTTTTGAATATCCCACGTTCTGTCACCCATCCTAGTTTCTCTGCCTTTACCCTTCAAGTATCGTTGAACCTCTCCATCTCTCGTTTTCTTACACTGCAGAACTGTGTTTTATGCTCTGCAGCTCTGTCAGCCCCATCACTTCACATCACTGTCATCCTCCTTTCTTCTTCTGTCCCACCCACCCACTGCTTCTGATGCCTGGACTGGGGCCCTTGAAGAATCCTGGTAATAAAACTGTGGTGCCTGGGCTCTTCATTGCTGCCTCGGTCTCCACACCTCTCATCTGTGCAGGTCAGACTGATCCAAATGGCCCAGCCTCTTTATGATTTTTTTATGTTAGAAAACTTTACCCCCATTCTGTCTACTCCCCCCTCCCTCTTCTTTTTTAGTTGTTGTTTGATTCCTTTGTGTACAGTGAGCTATGCTCATGGTGGCAGCGCAGTGCCAGAAAAAAAAAACCCCACACAAACACATGTATGCGTGCATATGTACATGCACAGTCACAGACACACAGCTGGACTCCAGCTGCACACAAAGGCTGGGGTTTGGAAATCAATGAAGGAGAAAGAAGAAAAAGGGGGAAAGAGTTTAAATAAATTGGCACTTGAAAAAAGAAGAAAAATAAGAAAGGGAGCGATGGAAACAGAAACGAGGAGTTATTTTTTGTTAAAAAAAAGCCACATGTACTCAACAATAGAGTGAGGCCTGTAATGAAGTAACAAAATATAAGGAGTGTTAAAACAGAAACAGATAAGTTTGTAAGTCGGGAAATAAAAAACAGTCGTACTTTGGAATAATAAAAAAAAAAGTTAGATTTGTTTGAGAGGGTGCTGGTACACGCAAAAAAATTATAATAAATATTTAAAAAAAAATACTTAAAAGATCAATGACTGCTTGAAGAAGAAGATAAAATAGATCAAAGTTTTTATGGATATAACCTGTGCATATATTCTGTTTTTTTGTTTGTTTTTTTTTAAAGAGGCAAAGTAAAAAAAAAAAAAAAAGAAGAATATTCCTGTTATATGCATTAAAGAGAGCTGTAACTCTAGGGGGGCTGCAGAGTTCTACTGCTCAGGTAGAAAAATTTGGCAACGGGAAAAATATTATTGATTCACTCCATAAATGGGATCTCCATTAAGGAGTAGCAAAAAAAAAAAGAACATCGTTGACAAAAAAAGGCATAGGAAGTCCTGTTTAATGATTGCCACACGCCATGAAGAGCACAGAAAAAAACTGAATCAGGGGATGCTGTGGTCAGAAGAAACCCACATTGAATATTCTGCATTGAGATTAAAATACTACAGTTCTATTTAAATACATCAACCCAATGTGAAACATGGTGGTGGCATCGTCATGCTGCGGGGATGCTTTCCCTCAGTGAGTATAGCAAACTGGGTGAGAATTAAGTGCAGGGCAATCCTGGAGCAATCCCTCCAGTCCCAAAGCTGCATTGGTGTGTAGATTAAGGTTTACTATGTGAAAAGGCCCCGTCAATATCTGGGTCTAAATAAAACTGGGAATCTATGCAAGACTTGAGAATGGAGGCTGCAATGTTCTCCATTTATTATGCCTGAACTTAAAAAATTGTGCAAAGCGGGATCCGGGTGGAGGCGAAGTAAAGAATCAGACAAGCTTCATATAAATGCATGCCACACTTTTTGGATTTATGTTTGTGGTTGTTATACGACAAAATAGAGGAATGTTAAAAGGGGATGAATGCTTTGGCAAGTCAATGTATTCTTTAGCTAGTTTTACAGAGGACTGTAGGTACTCTGTCCAAATCAAGGATTTCGGTGAATAAGTCACTTCAAGTATCAAATAACCACCAATTCAAAAGTTCTGAACTATGAACTATCAAAGCTAATCCCAACAATTCACACACTTGATGATCATTTACAAAAACGTATCACATACAATCTTCTTCAGATGTATATTTTCTATTTCTTGATGCCTGTTCTGTTTCCAATCTGCCAGGAATGAAATGCTGTAATTTCTTCACATTGCTTTATATCGCTGAACATTGACATTTTTATTAGGGGAGACGGAGACATAATCAATAGGCGCCTCGAAGAGAGAAGAAAAGCCAGCCTATATTTTTCCTCTTTCTTCTGGTTTGGAAAGGATCCTCAAATCGCTGTCTTATGAGTGCAGCCTGCCAAATTCAGTTGGTTTTATCAAGGACCTTTAACTCCCTGCTCACATTCCAAATCCTGCAGGCAGCTTTTAAACGCGTACATTTCCACTCTGACATGAGGATGCATAACACTGCACATGCAACATACGCCTACTGTTACGACTGTGGCACTAAGGCTTGTGTGCCATGTGTTACTTGCATGAGATCACACCTAATATATGAAGATTCACTATGTGTATATATATATATGGTTTCATATCAATGTATTGTTAGTCTCGTAAAGATTTTCGAAAATACTTTGAGTACTTAAAGGCCTGCAGTTAATTATGTGTTTCAAGATGTGCTGCGGGAGGGATGTTAACTCTCCTTTCTGCAGCAGGTTCAAAAAAACTGTCAGGGAAGTAAGAAGTAGGATTGTTATCTGTTTAGCTTTCACAGCAGAGTGCTGCTGTTGATTTGTGAAACGGTGCACAGTCGGTCGACAAACTGTCAAAGGTGAACGCGTGCACACGATAACACTGAGTTACCGTGAGCCCTGAGCATGCCAGAGAGTGCCTCACCCTGGTGACACCAAGCTGAAATCAACATCTTTTTGAATTATTGAGGAAACCATATCAGATACCTGATAAACAGGCAAGCCCTTTGTAGCAGATATCTGCATGACATTCTAAAGACACTGGTTGTATGGTTTGTGATGGTTTTAAAGAAACCTTCATAAAAGCCTTGATTGTGTTCAGATGTCCTCCTGCAGAAAATTGCTCTCTTAAAGAAACAAGCAATTGAAACCAGGATTTATTGTAATTTGAGATGAACCAATCAGTTGCAGGAATCAGCGATTTTTCCTTAATTGGCACCGTCTTTGGAGCCGAGTTTACAAATGAAAATTTGTTTCCCCCCTATTGATTGAATGCATTAAAATTATATATTTCCACTATTTCCTGGTTAATAAACGCAACAGCAAACAGCATTCTCTTAGATGCACTAATCTTAAAACTTTTTAAAAAGATGATAAAGACCATTTGCTTTAATTATTAAACTCCAATATTCTTTGAATTCCTTTAACCTCTGATTAAGTTAAAACTGTATGTATGAAAAACCTGTGGCAGATTTAATGAAAAGTGATGCAAGACATAGAGAGTGAGAAAGAGAGAGAGAGAAAAAACACAAAACTGGCAGCTTAAAGCTTTAAACAAAAATCTGCACCAAACAGAAAAACAACATGAACTTATCCGTGCACTGTTAGCTTTAAAGGGTTAAACTTCGAGTTCATAGTGAAAAAAATAAAGAATCAGTTTCAGGATACTCCTGGCACTCATCAGCCATGCAATTTGTTTAGAAAATCATCATTCAGAAGTTGTTTGCTGTAAGTTTACCCAAGCTAAGCTGATATTTAGAAAGTTTCTGGGTCAAGTGTAGGTTTAGAGAAACAATCCCTGGATAATTTTAGAGTTCGAGGTTGATTCTAACTTATTTTCCCAGACAACATTAAAAGGCAAGAAGAACAAATATTGTTTTACAGATGTTGCTTTGATGCAGGTGTTGTGTTTGAGAGCCTCAAAGAGGCACAGTTTAAAACATGCAACACAGAGCCTTATAAGTTTCTAAACTGGGCCTGCTATCTGGAAGTCCCTCTCAGATGCTTCTGTAGGAAGTGCACTCAAACTGATAAACTGACATCATCTAAAACCTTTGAGCTAACCTAACCCAGCAAGTAATTGTAGATAAGGTTAATATAAGTAATGTGATTAAAAACATTTTATTAAAATAATCAATATATTATTTTTTATTATTTTGGTACAGTTTGGTGTAAATGCTTTAGTTTTTAAAGCAGTAAATATGTGGGATAGTCAATTATGTATATAAAAAAGCCATTAACAGTATAAAAACTTTGGTTCTTTCATCTCTCCATGTTTTGTTATCCATCTCAACTAATTAAATATAAAGAAAGTAAAAGACAAAACGAACAAAACCCAAGTAAAACATGAAAACTCTCATATGACTGAGAAGAAACTTTACAAAGAAACTTTAAAGACCAAAGTAAAGTTTGACCATAAAGAAATAATTTTTAAAGAAAAAAAAAGAATCCTGATAGTAAAGGACGCAGATTAGTATAAAGATTATTTAAGACAATTTTACGCAATAATTTGGGGTATTTCTACATCCAATTGCATGTTGAGATTTATCCATTTTCCCCATAAACCGAATCACACTTTTTTTATCAGAAGACTACAGGTATGAGCAGGTAGAACAACCATCCTTTTCGGATTAAATGTGGTTGCTTATAATTCAGTTTAGACTTTAATCCTTTCCAATAGGCTATGTGTGAATCGAATAAAGTTGACCACCAACGCCTTGTGCAAAAAAAAAAAAAAGTTGTGCAAAGTAGATTTTTTTTTAAGATAGCTTTTATATCTGAAAACCAGAGTTAAAGCCGCTTTTCTGATGTCTCTCTATCTGCCCGCTGCAGCAACACCTCCCACCGCATCACTCACCAACTTCTTCAAACTTTCCAGCGCAGAGTGTTTTACTTTACCTCGATTTCTTTTCGGGTTGGCTTGTTTCCTTCGCTTCCCCCTGCTTTCTTCTGTCATGGCCGAACGTTTTTAGTTCTGTTTAGGGTCAAATAAATAAGAAGCGGTCCTGCGGGGCGCGCAGCGGCTGTTGCGTCCTGAGCGCCTCGCCAGAGAATGAATGGCGCAGAGGCATCGCCTGCGCTCACAGCGGGAGCCTCAGACCTTGATGGGACTCCAAGCAGCGGCGACGAGACGTGGAGGTGATGTCAGCAGCAGAGGCTGGCCCTGAGATCAGACTTGGCATCGTAAACGCGCACCTTCCTCAAAAGTAGCGGGACGCGGGCATGACTAGAGATAAACACCCTTATATATCTCTTAGGGGCCAATTTAAGCAATATCTAATGTTGCTGCATATCCAGTGAGGGAATCCCGAAACTACTATACATGTTACATGCAATACATTGCATGCACTTCTCTATATCTATATATTTATATCTGTAATATATATATATATATATATATATATATATATATATATATATATATATATATATATATATATATATATATAAGATGAATGGGGTGATCTCCCTGTGACTCCAATCTGCTCATTAATGAGGTGCAAATGAGGCCGTTAACTCCAGCTGCATCTTTTCTCACCAAAGAGGAGATTACACTAACAGCAGGTTAATGAGAACAGGTATGCGCCCTCACACCCCCTTCCATGTACTCCCCTTCAGGTTTTACAAGCCTGACTGTTATGTATATCGCACCTGCGCCGCAGTATCCCGGAGTGGACCCCGTCCCGCGGCCCCATTCATCCCTGGATGGCTCTAGGAAGTGGTGCATCAGCTGCGCTTTGTGTTGCAACCTACACTGTAATCTGTTTTGCAAATGAAAACAACATCCTAAGTAAAAATGACACCTCTAACGCAGCGTACAGGACCCCCACCTTGGCTTTTTTTTTGTGGCACCTTTTTTTTGGGGGGTCAGCTTTCCAAGGTGCAAAATATAATCTATGGGTAGAAAACAAACAACAATTGAATACTGTTGTATAGACTAGAAATGTTAAAGATAAAACGAATCAAAAAGAAAATATCTACAATGTTCTCTGGATGATTTAAGGATTTTTTTTTTTAAATCAGCAAAGTGACCCCAAAAGATCAAACAATTACTATAAAATTTTACTGTTGGATGCAATTACTCCATTAAATGTCTATACCATCTCACTATATAGTTATTTACAAAACAAATTAAAGTTTTACTTTATATTTTAGAGTACATTTTCTCCCCAGTGCCTGCAACAATTTCCAGTATTTTTACTTTGTTAAAAACTATCTTGTCAAAGTATTTACACCCCTTGAACGTTTTTATTTTCGTCCCTTTACCACCACATACTTTGGTATTTTAGTGGAATATTTGTGAGATGCTAACACAAAGGCGTGCATAATTTTTCATTTGAAGGGTAATATACATGGTTTAATTTAGTAAAAAAAAAAAAAAATTGAAATGTAGCATATTTTTTGTATTAGCCGTGGGAATAAGTTTGCACATTTAGAAGCTGAATTTTTTGCCAGTTATTCATCACCAGGCTGAGTCAGATTGGATGTAGAGCAACAATGGAAATCAATTCATATGTCTTTTTATATGTGTTCAGTTGGATTCAGGTTTAAACTTTGACTAGGCCATTATTACACATGAACATTCTTTGATATAAAACACATTCACCCCTTCATTAACTCTACACAGCTTCCCTGTCCCTCCTGAAGAAAAGTGTCCCACAGCATCATGCAGCCACCACTATTATATTGTGTTCAAGCTGATGTACAGTATTTAGCATTACTTTTTCGCAACGGTAAAATTCTCTTGCAGGTTGGTGAAAAACAGGCAAAATCACTGTATAACAGTGGCATTTCTTGAACGTTAAATAAGGCTAGTTGAACCTCTTTCCAGATGTAGAAACTCAAATTCACCAAAGTGACTGAATTGGGATAATGAGATTTTATTTCGCTTTTCGCGTGACTCACCTCAAATGTCAACCCTAACATGCTAACACTTTTACTTTCCACTTTTACTTGTAGTTTCTTCTTTTTTGTCTTCTCCTACAGATAGGTTGCTGAAACAGGTGATAAAAATAAATGTAATGACAGACTATAAATGAATCTGTGGAAAATTATCCTCATCTTGCACTTTATTTCAAAAACACTATTGATACAAAGCCCACACATATATATAAATGTATTCAATCTGTGGATAAAGTGCTATCTTCAATATGTTTTCATCCACATAGCATTTTTACATGTGTTCCAAAGCATTCAAATTTGGCCAAAGTTTGTTTGGACAAATTTTTGAAAAGATATTTTATACTTGTGGACACGTACACAAGTATGAAACTCCTTGTGCACAGTTACTTATGCACAAGTAACTATGCACAAGTACACAACTATGAAATTCCTTGTGCACAGTGCATGTGTGCATGTTGATGCTTTCACCTAAATCAAGATGGCCAATTCTGAATTCTAACTGCACAAGTAACTGTTAAAGTTACTTGCACAAATGCACAAGTAACTGTCCTTTTAACAGATTCTTCTAGATGAGTCATAGATCTCTATAGCTGATTCAGAGTTACCAGAGGCTTTTGGATTGCCTCTTTGTTCAATGATCACCTCGCCTTCTCATGCAGGTTTGCTGTTGTTTCACCATCTTTTCAATTTGCAGTGAACGGAACAGTTCTTGATATGTTCAAATAATTTAGTGTTCTTTTGTTACCTACTACTTTTCCAATAAACATCGGAGGACTTTACAGAATGAGCTGCTTTATAAGATGTAAAAAGATTTCATCTAAACGGCTTCGGTTTCACAGCATTTAATATAGGGGGTCTCCAGTTACAGGTGGGTGGATGCCTTCTCATGCTATGCTGAATATGCCTTTTTTGTTCAAATTTAGGAAAACCATGATAATGATGTTGTATTTAAGGTGGTGGATATTTTCCGAGGCACTGTAGGTGCCTTTATTTACGTTTGCTGGGGGTTGTTCTGTTAAATAGATTCTGGAAGAGAAAGCATCCTAAAGCTGGGGAGGGAGCAGGGGGACAGAGGGGTCATCCTGGCCCTTTGTGTTGGGATGGGCAGAGGAGAGGGAGGAGGTGGGCAATAAACTTTGGGGTTTATATGGAGGTGCGGCAAAGGTCCTGGGAGCTCTTTTTAAAAGGCAGAAGTTTTCATAGTTTTACACCTTATAACGGAAAAAAACTGTGATCAGTTGTACTTGACTGCTTCAACTCAAAGCTGATCACTATACTCCACATTGGTCCCCTTGATAAAAAGCTGTTTTATAGAATAATATCAAAAAGTTTTGCATTGTTATAACAAAGGAAACACGGCTGGATTGATTTGAATCATTTTCCACTTCTATTGTTTGTTTAGCATGAAATACTCTCTCTTACATATATTTATGGGAGCAAGGAGGAAGCAGACCTACTGAGGTTTTGTCCCAGTCTGTGGTCTACGGGTTCAAAGCCTCTTGCATGGGGAGTAGAGCCCTTACACAGCATATTAAGCAGGAGTTAATTATATGCCAACCTAAGTGACAAAGGGAAAGAAAAGCCTCCTCCTGAATGGCCAGACAAGAAAAGAAAAAAGTCATTATGTTGCCCACTCCTTTGCATTTGAAAAACTCTGTTCTTATTTTGGCCTTTCCATTCGTAACTCTAAAAAGTGAGGATCACATTGGAAACACTTGATGATGCTGCCTTTGCATCAGTTAAATCTAACATGTTAAATATTTTAGGATACAGACACTTTTACACACATCCTGTTATGCTTGGATATATTCAGATATCTCCTCCTGTTTCATATCTTGAGCTGTTACTACTTTAGATAAGATGTGTTTAAGTAGTAAACACTATTAGGAATAGTTCCTTTGTATTGTCTGGGCAATATTTTAAAATTACAAATATATCAATAAAAAAAAGCAAAAATCTTTTGAACCCCTTAAATATGATAACATTTTTGAACTACTTTTTTTTTCTTGGGTTAAATGGACTTCCGTTTTTGTAAACATTAACCACTCAGATTTATGTAAAGTTAATATAGAAGGGACAAAACATTGAACAAAATAAAACAAAACATCAATAAGTCTGATTTTTGCATTGATTCTGCATATTTTTACACAAGGATTGGATAATGGTGTAAAGCAACCTGCCTCTGTATGTTCCAACAGATTTAACTAATATTACATCAGAACATTCACCAAAAATTACTGTAGTGCATATCTTTATAAGACCTCTCACAACTATTGCCACCCCTGTTTGAGATGTTTGCAAAAGCCTTGAATTGAAATCCATCATATTTATTGCAGTAGAAAAAGGTAAAAAATAAAAATAAAAATTGGCACAGTTTTTACCTACATCAGCACCTTTCACACTGTATAATGACAAGGTAAAGTAAACTACTCTGGTTATCTAACAGTTTCTATAAGCACTTAAATTGTTAAATCTAACCTTAAGACAAAACCACAAACTGCCATCTGAACTATGTCATTACATGTAAAAAAAAAAAAAAAAAGGTAAAGCCAAAATGTTAAAGTTGAAATCCAGACCAAGTCTACATAGAGGCTAAAAAAGGGCAACTGAATTTAAAACTTTTTACTATGTCCACTATGTTTGTTTCATCAAGTGGACAGTTTTTTATGTAATCCACATTTTTTCACCACAACTCTATACATTGAGACCCCCCCCACTCTATTTAAGTTGGGTACAGGCCTGTAGTGGCAGCTAGCTCAGTTATTACCTGATCTGACATTTTCTCAAATGTGTGGAGTCCATCTCATCCAAACCCATAAAAATGGGACTCTTCTGTTCTTTATTACCCTGCCAACTTCCCCCTATCCTTTAAACACAATTTTAATGGGATTCCTTTGTGGAAACGTTGCTATTGTTATAAATCGAATGTGGATATGCCAGATTGCAAATCAATAGTCCGTCAGGAAAACTTCCCCTTTGCCTTGGAGCAAATGAGTCAGCTTTTAGCACCACTGCCAGGCAGTAGTGGCTGCTGTGGGTCCACTATGCCATGCC